TATAGATATAGACAATATATATTTAATGTCTGTATTTATTAATTCCAGCTAATAAGTGGTTGAAATGTTGCATTTAAATAAATAAATTTCACTACATTTACCCAACAGCTTAATGTTGAAGTTTTACTCAAGGTTTCAACAACCATAAAACACGAGCTTAGACGTAATTTTCACTTCGGATCTATTTGACAGCAGAAATCCAGTTCTACTTGCATTATTTATGACACTCACCTCAGCTGATGCTCTCGCAGGTTGGACAAGGCCTCCATACCGTGGAGATATGAGTAAACAATCTCCAGGTCCTGGGGAGGAGAAACAAAGGGTTATAAGACAAGWTTTTATTTAGATTTTAAACTATTTCTTTATAAATTAACATGGCTCTGTACAGAACTTGATGAACTCACATTGGATGTATTTATAATTTTATAAAGTCTTACAGTAGGAACACTTATGAATCATGAGCAGATTGTGAAACATTAAAAATAGACTGTAGTCTAGTCACAACTCCAGCTTCTATGATGAGACAACTTGGTWACTAAAAATGTCTTTGATGGCTTAGTATAAAAATCATAGGACTGTACTAGAGTTTGCAAAATAAGTTAAACTGGGACAATTAAAGACATCCAAACATGAAAATCATGAATGAGCATTCACATTGTTACTTAAAATCTGATGAGTCATGCTGCGGTAAATAAACTGGCTCCTCTGACAACAGAAAATAATCCACAGTTGATTTGTGGGTCTTAACATAGGAATAGATGGCAATAAAACAGCTCAGACACAGATGAAAATAGTAAAGGAGGTTCACTGCACCACTATAAACTCCTATTCAATTACTTCATGAAGTGACTCAGTGAGTAACTCAGATTGTTTGGCCTGTGTCCAAGTTGGAGGTGAAACAAAGTGGTCCTCTCTGAGTGCTGGCAGCCAGGACAGCTAAACTACTGTCCACTGCTCCACACTGGGGCACAGACTGCGTGCCTCTCTGTGTGTTTGTGCTACAGAACTAGTGGAAGCGACTGGGAGGCCTTTGTCGGCGGAAACTGGAGGTAGATGTGGCGACAGCGAAGCGGTGGGACAACAGAGAGCTTGTGCTAAGACCCCAATAGACACACGAGCGTGAATGAAGCCCCTCAGACAGTTTATCTGCGGGGTAAGTTTCTAAAACCAGCATTCTTACGCTTACTGAAAATGTCATAACCACAAAAGCTGAATAACGCAGTTTCTGCTCGTTTGGTGTCCCAAAATATGAATCACAGGACCCTCAGTGTTACGTTTCTGTGTGGTTGATTCATGCAAAAGAGGAAAAATGAAACTAAACAAAATCTTTTGAGAAACAATTGATTCTTAGAAATGATAACCACAGGAGCTCGATGCAGGGTCAAGTGCAACCACAGCAGTTTAACTTTATGTTTCACAGCACACAAAGGAAAATCTACAGAACATGACACATACAGGCAAACAAARACAAAATGTTCTACCTGTTTATTCTGAATTCAGTTAAATTTATATGCTTCTAGTACAAATTTAAGTGTGATAAAAATCATTATGAACAGAGTGAAGAGTTAGGGGACCAGCAGGGGTGATCGTAAGACGCCTGCTGCCACCTACTGGATGAAAAAGAATCTACTGTTTTGTTTTACAGGAATCATTTTGAACACAGAAATCAGGCAATTCTTGAAAGCAAAATCTGTACAGCTTTTTGTTAATATATTACTTAATTATAAATGTTAAATATTGTATATTAAAAAACATTAATGCATATGTTAATTAACTTAGGCAGGACATTATCAGGTGGAGAGATCCAGAATACTAAACAGTTTTAGGGTGAAATCATTGACATTTGTTAACTTTAACAGCTTTTAAAACAATATTACACAACTGGTTAACATTAAAACAAAAACTACAAATAAAATGATTTATTGGCTTCATAAATAAGGCTGCATGCAGGTTTTTAGTACCACATTTAACATATGCATAAATACTGTATTTTTATGTGCTTTGCCATATACACATCTACAGCTACATAAGTGCATTTTATATGCAAAAAGGATTACCAGGGTGTTTCTAATAATTCTTTTATAGGGTTAAAATACATACATTTCTTTTGAAAAACAATTTGCAAAACATRCTTTTTAGCTATTATACTAGAGTACATAGGATTTTTCTAACCACTGACTGGGGGGCACCTTGGTGGAGAAGTGGTCAAAAAGCATAAACCACATAACTGCAACAGCGTCACATTTTCTGCTTCTATCTGGGTAACCACAAAGACCATCAGAAAGGAAGTTGACTGCATTTTAGCTTCACTTCTTGTTATTATTAAACAAAACTGCCATGCATGGGCATAAAACAAGCCAAAGAAAACTAAAAAAAATGCAATCAAAAAGGAAATTTTTAACATAAAATCTTCTTCAATACAAAATTTAACAGGAGACAATGAAAACAACAAAGAGATGGGTAAGGAAGATGGACAGAAACAATACATCAGTTGTACAAGTAACAAATGTTAATTTTTAGGTATTTCATTAAAATCTACCCGGCGGTTCTTGAGATAATATTGCTAARAGACAGGAAGTTTATTGTAATAGTTTACAGCAAAGTTTTAAAAGCAGATTTCGTGCCACCATTTAGTGCTCAGAATGTGTGATGGGAATGACTTTCAGCTWCTACCACAGCAAGTTTTAGCTCAKCGTCTTTAAAACTGAGGGAGTTACAGTCACATGTGTTTGGTAAAATTGCTTCACCTTAAACAAAGCGACCTCCTAAAGTTAGATGAAGATGCACATCGGCAAGTTTCAATAAAGTTCCTCCATTAGTTCATAAGATTGTTTTTTGTTTGTTGTTGTTTTTTGCTAATGCTCAAGACAACCGAAAACATGCACYCTGGCATAAAAACAAAAACATTTCTTTGTAGCTGCTGTTTCCTGTGAAAGCAAGGAATGGTTGAGCCTCCTCGGGCACAAACATAAAAAACCACCAGTAGGGGGCAGTGTTGGAGGGCTCTTTCTCCTCTTCCTCACTGACATGATTGAGAGTAAAACAGCATGGCTGAGGCGCAGCTTCACAGGGAGAAATATGCAGAACCATCAATTGTGGCTTAACTCTAAAATATTTTTGATTGACTCAATGGAAAGAATGTAAAGGACCCCAACTTTTCTACTCCCAAAGCCTTACATTTTCCCTTCTTTTATTACCGGTCTCCTTATTAAATGAGGCTGACATGTTCGCCAAAGGTTTAAACTGCGGAAAAAATGCAAAGACACGAAAGTTGTAAAATAATAACAAAAGAAAGTTACGTTAAAAAGTACTTCTATCATTTACAAAAATCTATGGCTTCAATATTTATTTTGGTTGATCAGTTTTACTTTGTTCATCTAAACTAAAAAAAAAAKCCAGATAATTAAAGTTAACTTTCATTTAGTTCTTAATAAAAAAACAGAGTTTTAATCTGTGTTATTACTTAGTGAATGTTTGTTCATATCTTGGGCTGAGAGCAGAAACAATCTGTTTTAGAACAGAGACAGGAAGGAAAGAGCAGTGAACAGGAGAAACTGAAAAGGGCTGATGAATTCTTTTGAATAAAAACAAAGCTTGTTCATATTTTTTTTTTGTATAAACTACTGGCAGTTAAAAGTCCTAGTCTACACCAATAACAACGTCTAATCCTTCTCCTTTCCTCCAACAAATTAATTCTTCCAGGAACACAGGTGGCCTCCACAGGAGGAGAAACATACCAAGACATTGTTCAAGATAAAACCTTGGGGATTTTAAAGCTATTTTTATAAAAACTATGCTTCCTTCATGCCAGTGACGTACTAGGAACTGATCTTGTGTAAACAATTACTTCTTGGATTAAAGACTATATGTCATTACATTCCACCTGTGTTTGTGAAACAAATAGCAGCAGAGAAATGCAGTCAGACAAGTAAAGGCATTTCCTRTCCAGGATACAAATTAAACAATAGCAGGCCTTGTCGTCCCTGCTTGCAACTAGCAAACACGGGGACCGAGCCGTCCTCGTTTTCCCGCCCCTCACGTGGAACCCGAGGGGTGAGAGAGTGCCGGGTCAGGCCTGATGCCAACCGTTTGGGCAGCAAATCCCACAGTGGGTWTGGGGAAGTTAAGAAACTACTGACCCACGCCAAACGTTGAGTCGAGTTTTAGCCATTTTTGTGTTGGCTAATGAGTCAGCTCTAGTGGCCATGTTGAAATACACACTTATTACTTTCTTAGAGTTTCATTGAAAACTGTTCATTGATCAGGAGATATTTTGCTCATGCTACAAACTAATAAACACACAAACATAAATTTACCCTTAGGGCAGGCAAAATCATTACTGCCCTTCACATTTACATCCCTTTGCAGCTCTTCAGCTAATCTTTGCAGCACTAATCTTGAGTAATAAAAGAAAGACGAAGCAAATTCTTAATGTTACTCCGCAGCTATCGTTGCAATGTCATTATTCGTTTTCTTTAATTCAACAGCTCTGGGTCATCCCTAACTACAGCTTGAAAATGCCTCCTCTCTTATCTCTTAACACCACAGTGTCTGTTTTAAGCTTTCCTCGGGTCGGGCCTTTTCACTGTAGCACAAATGGTCAATCCGTTCATTCGTTTAGCTCTGGCTGAGAGCAGATAACAGACCTCTGCCTCCATCCATCACCCTCTGCAGACAAGCATCAAAGAAGAAGGCTGAAAACCTTTCAAAAACAAWAGGGCACCAGGTGAGATTTAAGAGACCCYGGCAGGGAGGTGAAGGACATTTCTGATGCTATCAAGTGGATTTTCAGGTGAAGCCAGAATCTCACTGAGCTGTGACTTTTGGAGACTAGTATGCCAATGACATTCAAGGGGGAATCTTTAAAATGTCTTAAAACGATTGTATTAATCACAGTGGCATGGGAATCACCGTATTTTCTTTTAAAATACTTCCTCAGTTGTAACAGGTTTTTTAAACCTTTCTCAATTTACTTTTGTAATTCTCTAGAGCACCATGGTTGCATTTTACCACCAGTACAGAGGTTCTCCTTGGACAAAAAAATAACATYTAATAAATAAATATTTTAGAAAAACTGGAACAAATCCACCCATCTTCAATCCAAAAAGGTACTTCAATAATTTGATTCATAAATGTGTATGATGTGGGTGGAGGTGGGCAATGSCAGCAGTTTTGCAGGCTGTGCACACAAAAATTAAGCTAAAAAAATGGTTAGTCAAAACATAGCCACACAGTTTTTTGGGTTGTTGGTCACAAACAKTCAAGAGTTCATTCAACTGCACCTTCTTATACTGAAAGATTT